CAGGTGAAGGGAAGCTAGGAAAATTGCAGACTGCAGCCTTTATCTGATTAACATTTTCCCCTGAATTCCAAATCCCTTACTTACTTTTTTCCTATCCTCTTCTTCTCCTTATAAAAAATGTATGCATCTGAGTAAAGGACCCATAAAGATTCAATCCTTGTCTCTACTTATTGGTTCTGGTAGTGACAGGCAGCATGAAGGCTGGATTTTCCAGTTTCAGACTTATGGGGTGATCACTTTGTAAGTTATATAAATGTGTAATCACTATGTTGTAGAACTGAGGCTGATATAATAGTGCATGTTAAGTGCAATTGAAAAAAAAACCCAAACAAAAGACTTTCACTGAGTCTTTAGGTGAAGGCTACACTGGGCATGCAAAGGGTAAAACTTCTCAAGGTAGTCAGAGAACAATTACAAGGGACCTGAACAATTACAGAGCTCAAACGGGGCTGGGAGACATTTGTTTTCTAACCAGGAAGAGGAGAAGCCTTGCCAAACCCTTGGGACAGTCAAAAGAGACGCCAGAAAAGCCTTGCCTTGGTAGGAAGACTAAACTAGTCCTAACACAGAGAAAACTCTAGAACTTTCCTGATCAGAGTTAACTGCTTGCCAGGATGAAATTCAGCATTCCCTAAAGGAAGACAACATAATCCAGATGCTCAACAATGTAACATATACTATGTCAGTATCCAATACAAAGATATTACATGTGCAAGGAAGCATGAAAATGTAGACCATGACCAGGAAATAGATCAGTCAATGGAAATACCCAGAAATGACAGGCTTGACTGAATTAGCAGATAGGAAATTTAAAACAGTGCTTATAAATATGCTTATTTATTATATCAAGGACTTTAGAGAAAAACGAATAAAGTGAGAGAAATGAAACGTATAAAACAATTAACTAGCACTGATAAAAACTATGGTATCTGAAATGAAACACTTGAATTTAATAGATTAGGCAATTCAGAAAAAAGGATCAGAGAACTTAAAGGTATAGCAATGAAAACTACTGAAAATAAAACACAAAAGGGGGGAAAATGAAGAGCCTCAGTGACCTAACATCAAGTGATCTAAAATAGGTCATTATTGTTTTAGGAGTAAAGATGAAAATTATAATCTCAGGGATCCATAATGTTATGAGCATCAAGTAGATAAACACAAGAAAATATATGAGATTTGTCCGGAAGATATCCAGCCATGTACTATGAAAAATAAAGACATTTATTGAAGGAGATACAAAATACAAGAAACATTGTATGTAGGACAATGATGTCTCAGTCCACCTCATAGTAGGCACCTTGGGACCTCACACAGTTTTCCCGATCGCCATCACTGCCCCATTGTGTTTTCCTGAATCTCATCGACAGTCTGAAATCTCTTCCCTTTCAAAGGTGATTTTAGTTTTGGGAAAAGCCAGAGGTCTCAGGACACCAAATCTGGGCTATAGTGGGGCTGAGTCACCTGGAAAATTTGATGTTTTGCCAAAAAGCTCTGCATGAGATGTGATGCATGGGCAGGTATGTTGTCACAATGAAGCTGCCAATCACCAGTTGCCTATAGCTGTGGCCTTCTGAATCATCCAGATAGTTTCCATGGAGGAATGTTCAAGTGTAACACAACTTTGACGCAGATTCGTTGCTCTACTGTGACGACGGCCACACAGTACACAGGCTCACTCAATGGGATCTACCACCCACACCAACTAGTACAGTGAAGTTGTCATTGTTCACTCATGTACATTCTAGTCCGCTCTCCTTGGCTGCCAGGTTACATTGATGCAACACAAACTGTTTTCATTATATAAACAATGGCTGGACTTTTTCCCGACATACCTTGGACATTATGATTACATTGCCGATAAATTGGTGATAAAAAGAAAATCTTAAAAGCAGCTAGAGGAAATAGGACACATTACATATGGAAACATAGATTTTAAAAAATCACTGTTTTTTCATAATAGGGAAGGGAAGCAGAAGACAATGGGACATCTTTAACAAATTGCAAAGAAAACATTTGTCACTCTAGAATTTACATAGAGAGAAGATATCACTCAAAGAAGAAAATGACATTTTCAGATTAAAAAAAAATAGGAGAATGCTTACCAGTAGACCTCCACTCAACATGGTAGATTTTAAAGTAACCATACAATAATTGCATTCAATATAAATGGTCTAAACCAAGGTTCAGCAAATTATGGCCCATGGGTCTACCTTGTGTTCTTGTAAATAAAGTTCTATTGGAACATAGCCATGCCCATTCATTTATATATTATCTATGACTGCTTTTGTATTACAAAGAAAGTTGAATAGTTAAAACGGGGACAGCCCATGGTCCACAAAACCTAAAATATTTACTATCGAGCCCTTTAAGACAAAGTTTGTTGACCCCTGGTCTAAACATTCCTATTGAAAAGCAGAGCTTATTAACCTGGATATAAAAGCAACACCTAACTACATGCTGTCTATAAGAAACTCACTATAGCTATAAGTATATAGCTATAAATATAAAAAATAGGTTAAAAGTAAAAGAAATATACTGTGCAAATAAAGTTGCATGGCTATATTACTGTCAGACAAGTAGATGTGGGAATAAGAAATATTACCAAATTTAAGGAGGGACACATACTCTAATGATAAAAGGCTTAATACATCAAGAAGATACAGAAGTCCTTAACATCTATGTACCTGGCAAGGCTATTTTCCTTTCTGGGTGTTCTAGGGAAGGATCCATTTGTGTTGCTTATTTTGATTTTGGCAGAATTCAGTTCCTTGTGGTTGTAGGACTGAGGTCTCCTCCTCCTTGCTGGATGTCAGCTGAGGGTCATTCCCAGCTTCTGTAGGCTCCCTAAATTCTGTGACTTATGGCCCGCGTTCCCTATCTTTAACAAGCCAGCAACGGTCAAGTAACTAATATTCTGAAGCTCCCCTCCTCCTTCTGTTTTTATCAAATCTTGCTTTAAACACAGATGGAACAAATTTTCCATTTTTAGGGACTCAACATTAGATTGGGTCCACCCAGATAACCTAGGATAACCGCCCCCTCTCAAGGTCAGTACCCTTAGTCACGTTTGCGAGGCTTTTCTGGCTATGGTGGGTAACTTATTTATTGGCTTCAGGGATTTGAAAGTGGATGTCCTGGGAGGCCATTCTGAGGCCTATCATGGGAGGTAACGTCCATGTCCCATTGCCATGTTCAAAGGGAAGAATTTAGTGGCAAACTCTGAGGGAATGCTAATGAGATTGACCAGAATGAGGAAGGGTTTAAAATACCTGCAAGAAGGTGAAAATAATGAATGCTTCAGCCCAGAAGATACAAAATTGAATGTGAGAAATATCTACTCATCATTTTCAAATATTTAATAATTTTCTATGTATAAAATAGAACAAATTTGTTTTGAAGAAATTCAGAAGGAAAACTTAGGATTCCTGGAAGAAAGTTGTAAGGAGATAGATGTTGGTCCAACAGAAGAAGAATGTTGTAAATTAAGGGCTGAGCAATGATTGGGTGATCTGTCTCTGGAGGTAGTGAGTATTCTGTATTAATGTAGGGCTAGGGACAATTTTCTAGATAAATTAACATATTGTTCAATCATTTATACATTCAAACATACGTACTGATCATTTTGTATGTGTCAAAGAGAAATTAAGAGTTTATTTCCTGCTCCTAAAGAATTTGCCATATGATTCTTTGTCTCTGTCCTTGCTCCTCATTCCCACCATCCATTTATTTAATGAATACTTACTGAGTTCCAACAATGGCCAGGTACCATTCTAGGCACTGAGGACACATCAATGATCAAAACAGATAAAACTCTTGGTTCATTAAACTTACATTCTAGAGTGGGCGCAAAAAAGACAATCGTTTACTGAGCTCTGTCCTTCTGTTGCTGAACACCTCTTACATCAGTCCCTTCTCCATGCCCCCATCTGTGACCATTGTCAGGCCTCTTAATCTCTCACCTCAACAGTGACAGTGGCACCTAAATGGTGCCTTTTTTAATGTCTCTCACACTCTGCTTGCAGATTAATCTTTCTGAAACAATGCTTCATTAACTAACTTCTATTGATTTCCTAATGCAGACAGAAATCAGTACATGCCCCTTAGCTTGGCTTCTGAGGTCCTTTATGGTCAGGTAATAATCAACCTTTCCAACCATATGTCCTGTTATTTGCTTTTATATCACCTTTGTTCCAGAGAGGACAGATGTCTCACCTCTCCCTGTTCCCCACATGCACCTCTCCACATGTCCCCACATGCACCTCTTTGCCTTTGTTGTCTTCCTTACCCAGAATGACTCCTCTCTATCTGTGAATATCTAAATCTTATCAGTCCTCCAAGTCCTAGATCAAATATCACTGTGTCTATGAAACTTTTCGTCATTTTCTTAATAATATCTCTTTCCTCTAAAACCATACCATTCAACCCATATCTGTTAATAACATTGCAAGTAATTTCACATAAGCATGGATTCTCTTCCTTAATGCCAGAATTCATGTCTGATTCATCCTGCTATCCTCAGTTCTGTGCACACCTATATTTCTTAAATTATTAAAGTAGAATATTTGGAAGTGAATTCTAGCTTTATTTACACTATTTAAAAATGTGATGTAAAATGTGTTTATGTATCATTCTGTACAGAGGCATAACCTGCATCTTTTGAATGAATTGCTAATGGCAATTAGTTGGCAAACAGCTTTCTCCTTCTTATTTAAGATATTTAATATCTCTATCCATGAAAGGGTAGTAAGGTACTTATTTGTCCCACTGTTTTGGTGGTGGGCATTATAAAAATTATCCTAGAAGGAATAAGTCATCTGTGGACAATGAGGCCACAGGATCTGGAGGGTCACCTTGGGGAACTGCTGAATAATCTATTGGCCTGGTATAAACCTAATTTCACACTTGAACTTCAAATTTTAGTTAATTCAGAAAATGAGTGGATATTCTATTATCAGCTTTCATGCCTTTGTCCCTGAGGATGAAAATCAAAACTGTACCTGAGCAGGCAACATGACAGTAGTTAATCTCTTCTAGCTCCGCACGTCTGCACCACGTGTAACTGTTTATCTGAAAAATGCCATAGTCGATGCTTCCGTCCTTCAGCACATTCTGAGCCGTGGTGTTGTAGTGGCTCTCATAGTATGCCATGCAGATCCCTTGGAGGAGGAAGTTAGAAATGCCGGAGAAAGAAAAGCATTGTTTCTTCTAACCCTGTTCTAAGGAGAGAGTTCCCTTATATATGCTACAACAATGCTCTGCTCCCAACAAACCCTGGGGAAGGTCAGGGCAGGTAACTCAACCATGGGCCTCATGACAGGCAGGGATGCACACCTAAGACTCCACATGTGGTCAATGGCTCATTTGGACTCCTCTAAAAGTCAGGTCCACCCCCACAATGCCAGCAAGGGTGACATCGTTTTCTCCTTCCCTTGCCGGTGTCATTGGTATGGGACTTCAGAAGCTGGGAATTGAAGGGCGGGGTAAAGCAGAGGGGCCCCAGAGAGGAGCAGATGCTGAGAACATGTGAGCACCTAGTGGCCATCCCTGGTGGGGCAGAGTGTGGAAAAGCTGGGAACAAATAAACCAAAGTGTACCTAGCCGAACTTTTGACATTTAGGGGGAGAGGTCAAGGGTAGAAAGAGAACAGGAAGGGAGAAATCTCACAATTTTCAAGGCTAAAGCCCTCGAAATTGTCCAGGCCAGCCATCAAAAATATTTTTGCCAGTTTACAGCGAGAGTAGATTCTGGGCTCAGCAACTGTGGCCAGACAGCCAATCAGGGCCAAGATGCCAGCGGCTTTCATCCTGGAGCTGTGGAAGGCAGAACCTGTCAAAGATCAGAAGACCAGGTCAGACAATCTTGCTTCGTCCTGAGATAAAGTCTGTCAGCAATGAAAACTTCAAAATCTGCCAGCCACAGATGTGGAAGGCCAGAATCAGGGCAAAACAAAGTGTAGAGAGGAGCCAGCCTGGGGAAGGAATGAGCGCAGCTCCTTCCCTCATAGTTACTTTCAAGTAAATGTGCTGTTCCTAGAACCAAGCAAGCAAATAATTCAGCCCTCCTTTATCCATCCAGCCTGAAACCACAGAGGGTGATACATTTCTAAGATTCTCATTAGTTTTATGAATAGAAAAGAAAAGAATACAAAGAGCTAGGCGTTCCCTGTAGGTATAGAAACAGACACTTAATTTCAGCCACAGAAGAAATATACATGGGTCTGTGTAGACAACTTCAAGATTTACTGATTGGGGGTTGGGAGAAGTTTTAGCTCCTTAGTTTTCTTCCATTCTTTTTTCTTGATACTTTTCCAAATATGGGAGTGTTCATTGAAAAATATCAGTCTTATGTCACAATTGCACTATTTTTGGGGGGCCTGCTCCACCGTTTCATGGGGCCTCCTAAAAGTCTGGTGTCCACCGATGAGCAGGAGGGGTACAGATGACAATGGGTCACACGAGGAGGAAAGTGTTGGGTGTTGGGAGTAGAAGAGCCATGAAGGGACCCTTACTGAATTATTTAAAATGGCATTAGGATCAAGAGCATGTTCCCTTATCAGGTTCTAGCTTTCCAGAAGTGCTCCCTCTGCTGAAGTAAGCTGTCTTCCTCAAGCATAAGGGTCTTGCTGGGGTGGTGGGGGCGAGGGGGGATTTCTCATCACTGCTCATGATGCCAGACCTGATGTCCTCACATATTTTCATGCCACATCATTTTCTGCACCTGCTTTGAAATTTCTAAAATTACTGGTTTCTTCTCTTGAAGTTAGGTTCCTCAACTGAGAAGCTAGGCTAAAAACAGGGTTCAGTGTTCAGCAAGGCCACAGGGAGAGTCTCTGTGGGGCTTTAAAGTATCTAAGCAATAAGGAAGGTAATTACATGTCATCTGGGGTACGTAGAATGCACTCTGGTCAATAGCAAGGATCAGCAAAATCCACCTGCCTTTGCTGAAACATAGCTATACCTGTTCAGTCATATATTATATATGGCTGATTTCTTAATACAATGGCAGAGTTGAATGGTTTTGTTAGAGATTGTAGGGACCAAAGGGCCTAAAAGATACTCTACCCTTTAAAGAAAACGTCCCTGGTGTACAGCATTGAGCTATGACCTAGAATTGGTCCAGGTGTTGAGAGGGAGATAAACAAGGTATAAGATGCAGAGCTTACACATTAAATTGGTCTCCATCTCCTACCTTAGAATCTTACTGGTCTCAAACAAATAAAATCAAACAAAGCAAAACCCCACAGCAACGGCAGCTCCAAGCATAATGTTTTACATCCTTCAAGCCAGGGGTTGACATTGATCGTCCTTCGGACAGGTGACTTCATCAGAGTAATTTAGGCCTTGTTAAAAACAGATTCCTGAGGTCTGCCCCAAAGATGTTGCTCAGGTGCATTTGTGGAAGAAACACTGCTTTACTTACTCAGTTAGTGCTGGGCATCTCCCATGAGCTTCCTGCATCCCATGGAGCCATGTATGATTCTTTCCACACACAAGTGACCCTCTGCCTTTAACCAAGACCCTTTCTATAGAGCCTTAGAGAAAGAAGAATTCTTAGCTCTTTTGTCTTCAGCTGCCTAGGGATTCTAGAATTCTATTCTTGGGACTGAGGGGATAACTACACTCTGGGCCATTCTGCCTCTTTTTTCCTTCTTCCTCAATAGCCCTCCTGACTACTCAGCTCAGCCAGAGCCTGCCATCCCAGCGAGAGCTCTTTGTACAACTTCTGTCTCCAAACTTGATCACAAATCCCATCGATAAAGTTGAGGATGTGTCCTCAGTAGGTAAACCACACTCATGTATTTCAGTACTGATGTTACATAAATCATAAATCTACAGCAAACTAAAATTTAAAAAGGATGAGATAGAGGTAAAATTAACATTTAAACTTTTTATTAACAGCCCAAAATGCCTTGCTATAATTAAATTTTTATTATTAATAGAATTTTAGTGGGATTGACATGATTGAATAAGATTCATTATTCAATCCCTACTTTTGAAAACTTTAGTTAAACATTTTTGTGGATCAATAATTAAAGGGCTAGTTTCAAGGACCATTTATTTCCATGCTCAGGTTTAATGGCATCTTTAAAATTGATTCTCATTGTGATATGTAGATTAAAGAGGAGTTTATTATTGTCTGCAACAATAATCATTATATTCTTAAATTCTATCTGCCAATTGTGCAAATGTTTTGTTGAAATTTACCTAATAATTTTATTTTTTCAGTTATCAGTCTCTTGCAACTTAACTGGGAATTATCACAGTATTATATTTTTAACAAATGCCTTCAAAATCACCAATGTTTCCTTTTGAAAGATTTTGAGAGAGTTTGGGAAATTATTTCTTATGGTTTTAGAAAAGTGTGCAGATGTAAAATTTGATTCTTACTCTCAAATCTCAAAACTCGAAAATTGTAAAAAGAATAGCAAGACATTTTCCTCTCACCCATCTCAGGTAGGCATCCCCTTGCCTTTTCCAGAGATAACCGATGATACAACTACGCATTCCAGAGATATCAAATGTATATGCATACTAATATATAAATGTATTATGTTCTTTTTCTTCTCACACTACTTCTGTACTTTTTAAAATTGGATAATATATGTTAAAGATCTACTTTATGACTATATAGTAATGCATAATATAAAATATTTAGCCAGCTCAGTATAGATATACATTTAAGTTGTTTCATTTTTCTATTCTAAACATGTTACAATTAATAATCATATACACATCAATTACATGTGTGCAAGAATATCTATACGGATAAATTCCTTCACGTTGTTTTTGTAAGTTTGCTAGATATTGCCAAATTGCCGTCTACATGGGCTCATAGAATGAAGAATGCTTTTGCCCCACTGCCTAGTCAGGAACTATGTATTAAACTCTTTCATTTTTGCCAATCTGCAAGATGGAAAATGGTTTCTCAGTAAGTTTCGGTTTCTATTTCCCTTATGCCAAGCTGGTTGAGCATCTTTTCTTATGTTTAGGAGTTATTTGTGGGTTTTCCACCCCCTGTGAACTGTTAATCATACGAGACACTTTATATGTTTATTCTTCAAACATTTTTTTTGGATTAGGAATATTGTTAATCAGTGAGAATATAGAGACAAATTGTGTCCCTTTTTTTGGTAAAAATACATTTAGAAAGTTTGCAGTGTATAAAATAAATATACAGAAGTCATTAATAGTCTTACATACCAGCGACAAACCGAGAATTTTAAAATATTTTAAATAACATAAAGGATTAAACAAGTTTAGATCTAACAAAATATGTGTAGAATCTATATACTGACAACCATAAAACAGATAAAATCATCAAGATCTAAATAACTGGAAAGATATACCCTGTTTATGGATTTGAACTATAGATTCAATAAATCTCAATCAAAATTATACAAAGTTGTTTTGAAAATATCAATAAGATGATCTTAAAATTTATATGAAAAGGCAAAAGAACTTGAATACATCAAACTATTCTGAAAAAACCAAACAATAAAAGAACCCATACTTCCTGATTTTAACACTTAATATAGAGTTATATTAATCAAGGCCATGTGGTAATTGTGGAAAGATTGACACATCCATCAACGGAACAGAACAGAGACCCCAGAAATAGATTCACAGAAATGTAAACAATCAAAATTTTATTAAAAATATAAATGTAGTTAGTGGAATAATGAGTCTTTTAAACAAATGGTGCTGGAACAACTGGCTATTTCCAAAACAAGGAAACAAACAAAAATATACCCATAATAATATAATAAAAATAAAACAAGTTATGTTGAAGGATATATATATCTGATAGTTCATATGCAAATTATCTCAAAATTTATCAAAAACCTAAATGTAAAAAGTAAAACTACACAAGTTTTCAATTAAATATAGGAGAAAATCTGCATTACCATGAATTTGGCAATGAATTTTTAGATACGATACCCAAAGCATCATCCATGAAAAAAAAAATCTTATAGATTGGACTCAATCAAAGTTAAAAACTTTTGCCTTTTGAAAGACACTGTTAAGAGAATGAAAAGACAAGACATATATTGGAAGAAGTGTTTCAAGTTATGTATCTGAAAAAAGGCTTTGGATCCAGAATATATAAAGGACTCTTGAAATTCAACAATCAGCAACACAAACAATTAGAGAACGGGTAAAGGATCTGAATAGAAATTTCACGAGAAAAGGCAGAAAGATGGCAAATAAACCTATAAATAGATGATCAACATATTTTGTCATTAGGGAAATATAAATTAAAACCAAAAATGAAATACTGCTTTGCATCTATTAGAATAACTAAAATAAATCAAACAGACCATACCAAATGGTGAAGATGTGGAACAGCACATAGTCTCAGTGAAATGAAAAATGGTATAAGCACTCTGGAAAATAGTTTGGCAGCTTCTTACAAAGTTAAACATAGACTTATCAATCAAACCAAAAATAATCACACTCCTAAGTATTTATCCAAGAGACTTGAATATTATGTTCACAGAACTAAAACAAATATTCAAATATTCCAAAAATTTATATGGAACCACAAAAGATCCTGAACAGCCCAGCAATCCTGAGAAAGAAGAGCAAAGTTGGGAGAATTATGCTACCTGATATCAAACTATACTACGAGGCCATAATAATCAAAATAGTATGATACTGACATAAAAACAGATATGCAGAGCAATGGAACAGAAGAGAGAGCCCAGAAATAAACCCATGCCTTCAGAGCCAATTAATAGTTAATGAAGGAGGTAAGAACATACAATAGGATAAATGTAGTCTATTCAGTAAGTGGTGCTGGGAA